CTTAAATTGTAAAAATTTCCCCTTTTAAAATCTTTGATGTTCTGAAAATAAGTATTCAGTGCTTACAGGAGAAGTGCAGGGGAGTTAGAGGGTTAGGGTCAGGGTCTGCTAAAAATACTGACACAGTGAGGACAATGGTAGTAAGTAAAACTTTTAAATAACTTGTGGACAGTATCAGGAGATTTTTAGATTTCTGATGTGTTCAAGTTCATACCCTTTTATCAGTAATTCTACTATTGTCAATCTAAATATTAAAAATAATCAGAGATTCAGACAAAGATTTTGTATTCATCACAGTTACTTATGACCACAAAAAGTTAGGAACAAGTATAACACCAAACATTAGGGAAAAGGATCATTATAAGATCAAATATTATGAAGCCATTAAAAATTGAGGAGAAATGTATAGGATAAAACATTCAGTAAAGACAGTATGATCTACAATTTTAATGCAGCCTTAGCTAAAACTATGATTAAAAGAGAGCAGTATCCTACTTGTATCCTGCTCCTTTGCTGAATTCATTTATTAGTTTTAATATTGGTGTGTGTGCATGTGTGCTCTTTAGGGTTTTCTATACACAAGGTTTTATCATCTGCAAACTAATAATTTTACTCTTTTTTAAAAACAATTAATATACTTTTCTTCCCCTTGTCTAAGTGTCATACTTGTCTTGTTCTGGAAAAGCTTTCAGTCTTTCACAATTATGATGCTAGTTAAAGATATAAAATCAGCAAATGAAAGTCAACTGTATTTTTATACTCTAATAATGAACAATCTGAAAATAAAATTAACAAAACAATTCCATTTACAAAGTATTGAGAAGAATGAGTTACTTAATCAAGGAGGTGAAAAAACTTGTACAGTGTAAACTACAAAACATTGCTAACAGAATTTTAAAAGGATAGAAAAATGGACATTCTGTGTTAACAGATTGAAGAGCTTACTATTGTTAAGATATCAGTACTATCCAAAGTCATTTACAGATTCATTGCAATCCCTATCACAATCCTCATGTTTCCTGCAGAAATAAAAAAAAAA